CCTCTTTGTTTCCAACCTTTGCATTCCAATCACCAGTAATTATCAATACATTTTGGTTGTATGTTTGATCAATTTCAGACTGAAGAAGTTAGTGGACTTCTTCAATTTCATCCTCACTCGCTTTAGTGGTTGGTGCGCAAATTTGAATACTAGTGGTAGTAAGTGGTCTGCCTTACAGATATTTAGATATTATCCTATCACAGCATTATCCTTCAAGATCTCAAAATGTTCTTTTTGATGATGAATGCAATGCCATTCCTCTCCAATTTGTCATTCCTGTCATAGTAAACCAGGTAATTGTCAGATTCAAAACTGCTAATTCCAGTCCGTTTCAGCCCACTAATGTCTTGGATATCAATGCTTATGCATTCCGATTCATTCTTGACAACTTCAAATTTTCCTAGATTCATACTTCGTACAGTCCATGTTCCAGTTATTAATGGACATTTACAGCTGCTTCTCCTCATTTTGAGTTGTGCCCCACCATCTAATGAAGATCTTGTGGGCTTTACGCCATTAGTGTCATCACAGTCAACTCTACTTGGAGGAAGCAACTCTTCCCCAGTCGTGTTTTCAGCGCCTTTCAACCAAAGGAGCTCATCTTCTAGCACTATGTCTGATAATATTCTGGGGCTCTTCATCATGTTTCAATATTCAATAATCTGGTGCTGACAGTGTTCCCCTACTCTTCATAAGGTTTTCAGGAAGTCCTGGCATGGTGCTGTGGGTTAATGTGCTGGACTGTAAAGTTGGTTTGAACTGCAAGGTTGATGGTTCAAGCTCACAAGCTGCTTCTTGGAAACCCTATACAGGGTGACTGTGGGTCGGAACTAACTTGACGGCACTTAACAACTATAAACATTTAGAAGTAGTCTGTCTCTCCTTCTTCCTTGTTTGCTTTAGTCTGATAACTCAGCTGAAACCAGTCCACCATGGGTGACCCTGCTGGTATATAAAATACTGTTGGCATAGCTTCCAGCATCACACCAACACCCAAGTCACCAGAGTACGACAAGTTGATGGATGAAATGGTTGTAGGGGGTGCTATGCAGATGCTATTGCATCACCTCCACCTTTGGGTGACTTTACCTGTATCAGAGTAGAAGTGTGTTCCATAGTGGGGGTTTTTTTGTTTGTTTGTTTGTTTCAGTTTTGTTTGGTTGGTTTCTGGTGAAAGGTGCTCCTTTGACAATTTCTACACAAATTGTTTAGTGACGTTACATTTTTTCACAGTGTGTCAACATTCTCTTTAAGGGCCTTCTGCTTGTTCCGATTCCAGCCCACTTATCTTCTCATCTTTGCATTAGGCTAATTGTTGACCTTTTGTTCTCATACAGATGGTTTTTAAAGGAACACCATCCTTACAGGTCACATTCTTTATTTTGTGGGCCAGTCTACTATTTTACAAAAAGGGAGCTCGGGGTAGTTTCAGTTCCCAGTAAAAAGAGTCTCTCTCATGGTGACAGTCTCAGGGATTTTGATTTCTGTTACGTGTTGTGTTCTCATTTTGTCAGCGTTCCTTTATTG